TTCAGTGCAAAGGTCTAAAAAAATCAGTGCTTGTAAAACGCAAGCAGGAATAATTGTAAGAAATAAATCAAAGCGACTGGACTTGCTGTATTTTTTATTAAAGGAGAGGAGAACTATGAGGTGAGTGCTTTTCACTCACCTCATAGTTCTAGCTGACCTGTGACAATGAAACTGTCACAGGTCGGCTCAGTAGATCGTGAAGTGAGCGAACACATGCCGGCGTCCGCTCACTTCTCGATCTTGTCACGGCAGAGAGCCGTGACAGGGGAGGGGCTGGATTCCCCCCTCCCCACTCCTCCAGTGCTGACTGGCGAACAGACGGGGGAGGGGGCGGGTACAGCTGGCTCTGCCTCTAGATAGGCAGAGCCAGCTGTCACTGACGCAGCTGGGTGGATCCAGACATAATTGCTTGCGGTATACTGCGGCATCTCAGTATACCCCGAGCTGTAGCTCGCGGTATACTGAGCTTAGGGTGACTAGTTTGTGTCCTCCGTTACCCTTAGGAGAACTATGGGGAAAAGCCCTAACCCCATAGTTCTCCTTTAAATACATTTTGCTGGTTATCCTACTAGCTTTCTCAATAAAGAATTTTGAAAGCTGAATTGAGAAAGCCAGTCGGATGACCAGCGAAATGTCTTCAAGAAAAAGTCCAGTTGCTTTGATTTATTTCTTACAGATATACCATTAACCTGGATGAATGAGAACCTTTACAGACAGACACACAAGCAGGAAGTGAGATCACAGGGGGCATTCTGTACGCCAACAGTCGCCATGATAATTTTAGTAACATGATAATTTTAGAGAACTACATCTTCTGCATAATAAAATAGAAAAGTATTATTTAATAAGTCTGTGAAGGTTCTCATTCACCCAGGTCATGGTATATCTGTATTAAATAAGTAAAAGCAACTAGAAAAATCCAAGATCCAAAAATATCCCAAAAAATACAGCAAGTCCAGTTGCCTTGACTTATTTTTTACAGATAAATATTTAATAACATTAATTTACCAAATGACTTAGCAAAAAGTAGATTTTTTTTCAGGGCCTTTTACCATCTTTTCAAAACCAAAACACACCAGCAAATGTGGTTAGTACATTGCTGTGCTGCACGTCCATTGGCAGAATGCATCGGGGTGCCATTCAGAATGAATGACACTTCAGCACAGCAGTTCACATAATGCACATTACTGCAATGCAACCCCAAAGGGTAAGTGCATGTTCAAAGTACACTTATGCTATTTTGCTTCTACCCAAACTAAAGTACCCCCTCTTTCCCGGATACATACTTTCCTCTCTCCCGCAGATTTAATTTTTTTTGCTGAACTCTTCTCTGTGCCTGCTACACCTGCTCAGTAGATCCCCATAGAGTTCTATTGGACTGTATCTAGCTTTTCTGAGCTATGTAGTCTATAGGGATTGGCATGGCGAGCACAGAGGGGATTTTCAGTGAAGAATGTAAACATTGTGGGCGGTCACAGATTGAGGGTAAGTATGTCCGGGTGAGGGAGGGCAAAAAGGATAAGTGCACTGTTTGAAGTGTGATATTCTGTTTTCATTTGCAGAGAAATGTAGCACATTTAAAGTGTAAGTCCAGGCAAAACTTTTTTTTTGCCTTAGGCCCCGTTCACATCTAGCGACTTATTTCCGCCGCGATATCGCGCATTTTTGCCGCGCGATATCGCGAACAGTCGCCGGCTAATTATAGTCAATGGAGCTGTCTTAGCTCCATGTCGCGCGTCTCGGTCGCAAGTCGCTTCTACAGGACCCTTTTTTCGGCGGATTTAGCTTTTTTCTATGGAGCCCGACGGATAAGGTCGCGCTACCGTCACTGGAATGTCGCCCCGAAAGTCGCGCTATCCCGGCCGCTGCAAAGGTATGTCGCTACATGTGAATGGGGCCTTAGATCTGGGGAAGGATTAGGATCCCTGTTTGGTTTTTCTGCTATGTGGGGTTCCGTACTGCTTCAGTGACATTGATTTCACCAGACAGAAAGCAAACATAAATCAGCAACAGGTACACTGGTAGACTATATAAAATCTGACATGGGCTCTAGTCTTTCCCTATTGTGCTAAAAACGCATTTTTATTTCTGCATGAGTTGGTGGTTCAGGACATAGGATTTTCCTCCCCTTCTTGTTTTGTGAAACTGTTCTTACTGTGGCAATAAATCAAGGGACATCTCTGTAATGGAGCTACAGATAGCTGTAACACCCAACAGAAGTAAAATGACTGGACATACCCTTTAAAATATAGCTGCTATAATATCATTATTAATATTGTTGTTACTTGATCAGCAGGTTCAGGCCACGCAGTTATCTTTACCCGTCCATAGCCTCAAACCATTCTCATATGTGTTGAAACTCCCCTTACATGTTTAGGCAATACACATTCTCACAATATTTAATATTATTTGAATAACTATCATTTTAAAACGCTAATGCTGGGATCACATCTATCTGCGTCCACTTCACTGCGTTTGTGTTTCATTCTGTGTGTCGATGTGCATTACACCTGCGTTTTTAAGTGTTATGCATTTTAGGTTTTAGCCAGGTTTAAGATGGCCTTACACTGTGCAAATTTCAGCCGGTTCATCAAAATTCGCACAGTGGTTGCTCGCTTGGCACCGTTTCATCCAGTATGCTTCCATCAGAAAATCGAAGGAGCCGGATTGAAAATCTTCAGGCAAACAGTGACGGCAGCCAATACGCTGCTGTCACTGTTTGAGTATCCTGAAAGCGGCACATCTGCCATAGTGAAAATACAAAAGACACAGCAGGAGATGTGTCCATCTTTACTGTTTAGTGTGAATGAAGGAATTATTTTATATTTTTAAGTTCGGCCCACATGTTGAAAGAAAAAAGTAAAAGAGCCCTTTCACACAGGCTTTCCGATCAGTCTGTGGACATCTTGATTTAAACAGACAGGTGTCCGTTTACATCCAGTTACCCCCCGCTCCAGCCAGGTCCGGAAAAATAAACGGATCACAGTTCTGTTTCGCTTGACCTGACTGTGTGGGATCGGGGGTAATTTGATGTAAACAGCCACAAGTCCGTTGACATCCAACACCCAATAGACCAAAATGCGTCGGGTAATTGCAGTTTGTTCCTCCATCATAAGAGCCAGATGGAAGGACACGGATGTCACAACATTGTGTTGATGAATCTAAGAACGGCTCAAGAATATGTGGGAAAAATGTGTCAGTCAAGGTTTTCCAAGTTCTACAGCATCTCTCTTGGTCTTTGTAAAAGTCTTTGTAAAAGCGATGGAACTCCCTAATGAGCACCTCGCTGTCACAGCAGCCATCTTGCTTGACATGTGGGTGGCAGATATCCAGAGGAGGAGCTTGTTACTGTAGGACAAGCTGCCCCGTGCTCACTCACAACACATTTAACCGCTTCCTGGCCATTGTAATTAAAGGGCAGACCGGGAGCTTCTTGAATGTGAGCGGGGGTTTAAAAAAGTCCTTTTAGCTTTGCCCACTCGTGTGCGCCGAGGTGGCGTGCACCAGCTGGAGACCGTCAAAATTGTAAACAGCCAGCGATGGTTCTTTACATACAAGCGTTCAGGCGGCTATAGAGCCGTCCAAACGCTTGTATGTTGTGCCACTCGGTACCCCCTCCCCCCCCCCGTTCTTGAGCTCTGCTGTGCCTGGTGCGGGCCCTAGACCAGACCTCTTGTGAACGGATATCATAGGGAGATCAGTACACAATCTCCCTCTGAGCTCCTCTCCGGTGTCAGAATGCAGGAAGTGGTGTATATTAAATCACTGCCGCATTCAGCTGTAATTCCCGGCTACAGAAGCCAGGGAGAAGTTGGTGAAGCAGAATTCTGCTTCATCAGCTTCTTTGGTGGCCCCTAGTTGACATTAGTTAAGTGGGAAAAAAAAAGTTTAAAAAAGTTCTAAAAATAAAAAATTAAAGCCACACATAAAAAAAGATTAAAAAACACAACAAAAGTGTTAAAGTCCCCCACCCACACATACGCATGCAAACATGCATTGGGTGCGCCAACGTGCGAAATTCGTGATTGTGCCCATTGCGCCGCACATGTTACATATCACCACAAATGTCAGAGCGTGAGCAATAATTCTAGGGCCATCAATCACTGAAAACACTAACCTGATGAGTGGTAAAAGCTTTTAAAGCGTCGCCTATGGCCAATTATGGGTATGGTAGTTTTTTTTTGCAATTTTAAGGCTGTTTGGTGTCTATTTAACCGACGTGACCCCGTCTTTTATATTTTACAAACAAAATTGGGTAACAATAAATGTTTTATAACATAATGTAGCAAAAACTGTTTCTTTTTCTTCAAACTGTTCGATAATTTTTCCTTAATAGAGTAAAAAATAGAAAACCCCAGTGGTGATTAAATACCACCAAAAGAAAGCTCTATCTGTCCCCAATAAATGGTATAAAATGTATTTCAGTACAGCGTTACATGATGGAATAAATGTCAGTCAAAGTACCGCAGAGCTGAATACTGAAAAACGGCCTGGTCAGGAAGGGGGTGTAAACATCCGGTCTTCAAGTGGTTAAAACATGTTAAAACGCACTTTACGTACATTTTCATTTGCTTCCATAGACTTGCATTGCACTGAAAATGCATAAAAAAGGACATGCCTCAATTTTAAAAATGCACCACAATGCAGTGCACAGACGTGAACAAGCCAATTGAATCACATGTGGTTTAGTTACACGTCCATTGTTTTGTGTTCTGACGCACGTGTTAAAACACGGAGGTGTGAACAGGGCCTAACCACTTAAAGGAAAATCTAGGCTACAGCACGCTTTTTATAGGTGTGTTTCAGCTTTAGCATCGACTCACAAAGAGGTTTATGTGTGTGTGTGTAGAAATACGGTCTATAATTGTAATTTCACCACAGCTGGAGTGCCAAGGTTGCCTTTCCGTATAATATAATATACACAGAAAATGCCCATTGCTATGCCCAGCTCAGAATGCTATATTACGTTTTGTGACTTTGTCTTTCTTTCTCCTATATAGTGCCTCAGACAATATGTACATTTGGCAGTCCGTGAAGGATTCGGTTCTCCGATCACGTGTCCAGACATGGTGTGCCCAAAGAGGGGTCTCCTTCAGGAAGCAGAGGTACAGATAACTAAGCTATTTCCTTTTTGAATCAATGCCTCGATTTTGACTAAGTCCTTTTTTAGGTGTTTTGCTTGCCAGTAATAAGCATGCAGCATGAGTCTCCCGCAGCAGCCAAAATCAGCAGCGATGGGTTTTTTATTTTCTACCTTGAGGTAATGTTTATATAGTAACAGCTCAGTCAGTGTGTGCTATTTCTAGCCAAGTAAAAATATCCCAATCCTCTACTTCCATGAACTTTTAAACTAGGCTGCACGTAGTAGCTTCTGTTCTGTTTTAGAATCAGACATCTGTATGTACACACAAGCTAGGTGTAGCTGTAATTTGCATGTTCCTTCAGAACTTATTTGAATACTGTCAAACCAGTTTTTGGCGTGTCAGCCAAAAATGAAATCTGTAAAAGTGTTGATAGGAGAATTTTGATTTATGAAGCATTTGCATGAGACTACTTTGTTTTGTCTTATTTTGTTTGTAAATGATATTTTATCATCTCTTAATCTATACGCGCAGCCCTCCAGTTATTCCCCTTAGTTCTGTCTGTGTGATCTTTGAGGAGAGCTTATTTTGTTCAAAAAAACAATGGGGTTCAGTTACTAAGGGCAAACATGCTGTTCACTTTGCTTAGTGACTGTGGTGAAAATTCACTTTGCAGAGAATACCCAATCATGTAGAAGGAGAATTCATTTTTTTTTTTTTGCACATGATTGTATGATGGAAGTCAGCAGAGCTTAAAGGAGAACTATGAGGTGAGTGAAAATCACTCAGCTTCATAGTTCTAGCCGACCTGTGAAAACTGTCACAGGTCGGCTCAATAGATCGGGAAGTGAGGGAACACATACAGTCACTCGCTCACTTCTCGATCATCTCCCTGCAGAAAGCCGTGACTGTCACTGACGGCTCCCTGCAGGGATTTCCCCCCTCCCCTGTCTGATCCTCCAGCGCAGACTGGCGGAACGGACGGGGGAGGGGGCAGGTACAGCTGGCTCTGCCTCTAGATAGGCAAAGTCAGCTGTCACTCACGCAGCTGGGTGGATCCAGACAGTAATGTCGGGATCCGTCCCGGCTGCGGTGTCTCAGTATACCGCGAGAGATTGTATTCCATCACGGGAGCGAGCTTGGAGCCGTGGCTACTTTACAACACACACATGGACCATGTAGAACAAAAGTAGCCACCCTCCAGAAGGAAGGACAATGTCAGCACCAATTCACAGATGATTTGAGGATCTACAGCCGAGTGATACATAAATAAGATACATTTGTGTTAATAGTTCGGGTACTTGAATGCATTTTTAAGATTTAACTCCTGAGTTTGGTGTCTGGGTAACCACATTTTCTAAGCTAAGGGAAAATTCCCCTGCGACTTAAACATTCTGTTTGCCTTTAGTAAATTAATTCCATTATGTACTTATCAAGGCTCTCCTTCAGTGCAGGATTTGGAAGTACACCAGTGCACTACTCTTCAGTGACTCACTGCTCCCACCCAAATTGAGTCAAGCAGTAAATGAAGAAGGCATTCTGTATTCTGTATGTATCTCAGTATTATGAAGCTGAGAGTATTGACAGTGAAGATGACCATACACTGTAAGAATTTCAGCCAGTTCCTGTGAATCTGCCAAAATTCTAACCGTGGGTGGCTCTGCCGGGATCACCTGGCATGTTAAACTGAAAAATCGAAGGAGCTGGGCAGAAAATTTAAAAGTGACTGCAGCCAATCAGTTGAAATCAGTGTTCAGGTATCCAGACAGCCATGGCCACTCATCATGATGTGTCCTTTTCTGTGCCTTGTTCATTATTTTGTACCAAGGGAATGTACAGACAGCTAATCTGTTTGCATTGTTGTAGATCCGGGGCACCCACAATTTTTCGTCTGGAGATCTACTTTTCAAATGACTAGTTCAATGAGATCTACCAACAAAAAAACACCTGCATTCAGGGGCGGGAGGGGGCATGGCGTTGCATTGAAGTCAATGGCACCGCAGGCATGCCCCCCGCCCACAGTGTGATTGCCTGCACCTGGAACGCAGGCACATTAGTGCCAGCGTTCCAGTCCAGTGCAATCCGCAAAAATGCTGCAAACACTATTTTTGCAGATCGCACTGGACCGGAATGCTGGCACTAATGTGCCTGCGTTCCAGGTGCGGGCTATCGCACTGTGGTCGGGGGCATGCCTGCGGTGCCATTGACTTCAAAACAACCCCACACCCCCTCCCGCCCCTGAACGCAGGGAGTCGGCCAGCTTACATTACAGTGCGTCCTAGAGGCCTTGTCTTGTCCTCCCGTGGTGCTCGTGTGACCGACGTTGCACATGGGGACTCTCTCTCTCCGCACCACTCGGCATTAGTTCTGTGACAGTGGCTCCATCCTCCACCCTCCCCCGCCGCCGGTCCCTTCACTTCTTCTCAGATCCCTGCTGAATACAGATGGGGAGAGCAGCGGGGATCCAGAGATGCCCAACCGGCAGTAGGAGAGGACATTGCGATCTGCCATTGATCGCTACGCGATCTACTGGTAGATCACGATCGACCTTATGGGCACCCCTGTTGTAGATTCTTTACTGTTTTAGATCATTGTAGCCGTATTAGTGTATTGTTGCAACAACACATTTAAGTACTGTCTGTGATACTGTTTTATTTGAACAAACAGTTCAATATACAGGACAAGCTTTTGGGGCATTCCCTCTTTTTGTAAGGTCAAAGTGAGTGCTGTTTGGACCTTATAAGAAGGGGGGATGGTCCAAAAGCCTGTCCTGCAAATGTAACTGTTAGTGCAATTAAAAAAAAGTATCACAGACAGTACTCTAGTTTGCGATTTGAAAACCATATATAGAAGAAATGTTCTTAACCCGTGCAGTGGGCCTGCTCGCACATTGCAAGGGTTAAGTGCTTTCTTTTGTCTAGGGATGAAAATAACAAAGATATACTCACCTGAACCTCGTCCCACCTGGCTACTAGACTGGTCCCGGCAGCCTGTCTCCTCCTCTGATCCAGCGATGGAATCTCCCTCGTCATCCTCACGTCCAATACAGTGTATTAGACAGGATGACTCACAGGACCTTTGACCACTGGAACAAAGGAGGAGAGAGGCTGCAGGGACTGGTCTAACAGCAAGCTGGCTGCGAGGTTAAGGCGAGTATACCATTGTTATTTTCGTCCCTAGACCAAAAGGAGTACTTATCCTTTGCAGTGCAGGTGTAGCCCCACTGCAAAGGTTAAGAACATTTCTGCCCGGAATTCTTCTTTCACATGTCCATACGGGTGCGGGTGTCCCTGCTTGGACGCAGACAGGATCTATCCTGTCAGCATACGAGTATTGACACCCGCACGGACGTGCAGGTCGGGTGAGCGTAGGGCGGTGTACGACTGCGTACTCCCAAAGAGAAGGACAGGCTGCTGCATACAAATCACACACAGCACCTTTCCTTCCCGGGAGCTGCCCAATACGGTCATGCATGAAACACGGATCTGCATGGGTCGGCCGTTACCATCTAAATGAGGGCATAGTGAAGGACAGGCTGCTGCGTACAAATCACACGCAGCACCTGTCCTTCCCGGGAGCTGCCCAATACGGGCGTGCATGGAGCACGGATCTGCACGGGCCGGCCGTTACCTTTGTGAATGAGGGCTTATATAGGAACTGTTTTATCCACAAAGATGTATAAAACTATAAATACTGTTGTTATTCACCATCTCTCCAACATAAGGGAGTGAGAACACTTTTGTCTGTTATTCTGCATACTTTGTACCACTGCTTCTCTTTTGTTTGTCCATTGAACTGCTGCTGCACATCACAGAACTGGTGTTGCCCACTCTAAACTTTGTCCCTCTTTAAGATATATAGATAGCAGAACTGGTTTCATTTTCTAGCTGGAATGTAATTAGAGGGTTTTATCGGCTGAACTGAAAACCTTGAGGTTTCCACTTGCCATTTCAGTTGTTTTGCAAAGCACATCCAGATCTGTAAATATTGGAGCGCTTTGATATGCTGGCAACTTCCTATATATATCATTATAGTAAAATTAAACTATACTAACATGATGTCAGTCAGTAAAACATGTCTTGACATAGAGCGTCTCATCATAAAATAAGCTTTCATCATAGCAGGGACATGGGCAGGACTATTTAATTAAACAAACGTTTCATCTTATTATTGTATTATACACCTAATAGGGTGGTAGAGAAAGAGCAATCTTCTACAAATGTTAGCATTTCTTTGTACATAATGGCTGTGTAAACTACCAAATAATACCTTGAACTATTTCTGTTTTGATATGTAAATCAAGATAATATTACTGCAGGTTAAATAGCTGGCTAGTTGACACACAGAGGTATGCGTGTCACAGAGGTATGTTAATATCACGTGAAGGTACCCTTCAGTCAAACATGAACATTCTGCATTAAAACTCACTCCGGTGAAGAAACAGACAATAATATTAACCTGATGTTCTAACCATTCACAATTTTACAAAAAAATTGTTGCCGTTTGTGTCAGTTATTGGATCACTGCTCACTCTGACCCAAGTTGCAAACAAAAACCTGACAGGTTTCTTCACTTCTACACGTTGTCGTAGAGTGACGTAGACTAATGGTTTTGGCTGGAGTTGGGGTTTAAAGGGTTTCTAACCAAAAAACAAAATATCATGTATAGCAATTTACCCCTTTAATGAGGTGTCTGCATTTGTTTTTTTTTTTGTTAGACTTTTTCCCTTTAACTTCCCATAGTAAACCTGCACAAAACACACTTCCTGTCTATGGGTGGCTACTCTCACTCCTTCACTGAATCTATGGAAAAAGCCAAGCTTGTCACCCAGGCTGGACTACAAACGTGTCTGCCTTTGTTCATGTCCGTTACATAGGGAGGTACCTATTGGAAAAAATAACATTGTTTTTATTTAATGTTCAGCTCACAGGAAGTGACAAAAGCACTGCATTTTTTGTAAGATCAACAGGTATTTGCTGTACTTGCTGAAAATTGTCCTAACCTAAAAATGAAAGCTAATGCAGCCGCCACATCTAATGTCCATGAGATGCAATATATTACATTTCTGTTCATGGGTTTAATTATCCTTTAAAGAAAACCTGTCAGAGAGAGAATCATGGAGGCTACCATTGCTGGCAACCTTCTGAAAATATATTTTCCATTGATATTATGGTGACTCTCTTGCTTTAATACTTTGAGTCACTGATATGGAAAACAGTATGAAGAAAAGGGCTTAAAAAAAAATAAATCAATTTGTATTAAAAAACTCAGCACAGCATCGAAAAAAATACAGCTAGGATAACAAAAATATATATTAATTACAAAATAATCAAATGTACTTCTTGAATAGAGGGGTACAGAATACAAAGTGGTAGTATACACCTGAAACTAAACATAACTAACACCAAAAACCATATTTATAGGACACAGACCATAGAGATTGACCATGAAATCACACCACGATCCCATCCAGGGTAACTTGTAGCTGATCCAACCATGGAGAGAAATAAATATTCATAACAAGATGTACCTATTAATAGAACTCAGGCAAGTAACCTGCTAAACTGGTGTCACTTCTGGTGTAGATAACCATGCTCACCAAATCTTTTCGGGCATCCCCTTTGTTGATACATCAGTTTCTCTAATCTAATCCATGAGTTAGCCTCATCTGTCCACTGTAAAAGGGTAGGAGGAGAAGGAGAAATCTACTTCCTTGCTATTAGTTTCCTAGCCAGGAATAATAACCTTGTAACAGCAGTAGAAATATAATGATTATCTGCAGTCAGTTCAAAATAACCCAGAACATAAGTTATAGGCACATTTTATAGCCAAGCTCCATGCATTCTGTTAATAAGATCTATAATGTATAGCCTGTATCTAAAAAGGTTTGCGCAATGCCAGCTGCAGTAAGGTACGGTGATCTCGACTACATTTGGGACAAGAAGGGGATTCCCGCCAACCAAATATGTATAACCGTAGTGGGGTTCTGTAAACCCTATGGAGAAAAACCGTTGAGTAAGTCGTTTAGACACTGACAACGAGACCACGGGAGTGGCTTGCAAGTTACATTCCCACTGCTCTTCAGAAATCAAACCCATGTCCCTCTCCCTAAGAAAAGGATGTTTAACCTTTCTCTAACTTTCCTAATCTGCATAGCATATTAAAAAGGAAGTTAAAATGCAAGCTTCCATATTTCTACATGACAGGCCTAATTGAAAGCAATAAAGTTCTTTCCCATAGTTAAACAGGAATGTGACATCTGGTTCTCTTTTTTAAGACTTAGGGTGGCTTATCAAGGGAAAATAAATAGCAATAAAGTAAGAGTACAATAAAATGATAGAAAAATAGTAATAGCTTAATCATATATAATCATATATATCTATAAATGGGAAGTCATACATTTTAATATGTTATAAAAAATATATATGTTATATTAGTGTTTACTTGTTGCTTACATCACATTCTATCATTCTAATACATATTAGAAGATGATGAGGAAAATCATGGAATTTCTGTAAAGTAGATGTGTTTTAACAGAGCGGCAATACATACATGGTTCTTATATTCTGTTTCTGGTCTAGTGACCTCTGCCAGCCTGGGCCCGCTCTGGCCATCCCTAAATCCTACCTGGAGCTGAACAAATCACTTAATGGGCTGAAGGGAGCAAATAGTGAAATCATATTTCTGCAATTTTAGTTAATGTAGAATAAAATTGAAGACAAATCAGATGACCATGTGATGAAACAATATCACATCCAGAGGTTAACTAAACTTAAAAGTAAAAAAAACATTAGATCCACAAATATGAATATATCAAGTTATTTGCAAAACGTGACATTTCCCTCGAAAATTGGGCTTGGCCTCACTCCTCCCTTTTCTTGAACCCCCTATTGGCCCTTTAATGTAATTGGCAGTTCCACTGACCGGTATGGAGACTGGAGGGGTGGGCCAATATTGTTATTTTTCTAGGATAATGCCAATTAAAACTTGCATATAACGTCAATTGGCTTCTTCAGTCATTGGATCTACTGGTCACTTTGACAAGTTATTTTTTTTACTGCGACCTCAGCTTATGTATTTGGCCATATTGAGCTTAGTTTGAACTGCCTTGTTTGTGAGTGATTTACTTTAAGAAGTCTATTGTATAGCTGGCAAATTTTGCATGCCATAAGTCTTGTTTCATGCAGAAAACATACTTCATTTGTCTATGCCTAAAATATTCTGAGTTTGTCTGTACAAATTCTGTATTCTGATGGTAGCTTGGTGATCACATACACATTACCTATATGTGTAACACTTGGACGACTCCTTATGAAGTACTTGTGACAATATATGTTTCTTTATCGAGGCTGAAGTTCAAGCAGATATGAAAACCATCAATTAATGCGAACTTCCATACATTCATTAAAACCATTAAAAGTATTTTTAAATGCATGTGTAGTGTAGTGCAAGCATGTAAATGTATCTTGATAGCCTCCTGCAATCTTCTCTACAGGAGGACATAGACTGGGGGAGGGAAAGCTAGCACTAGAAACCAATGAGGTGAGGTTCTACTCACAAAGGACATGCTGCCAGGAGCAGAGAGCGGAATGAGCAGCGGGGCAACCTCACTAGTGTGCTGCAGTTCCTTCATTGTCCAATCAGCAAACAGGGGTGTGTTTTTGATAAAGCTGCCCTCCTGCTGTACTGAAGGCGGAGGATCTGAATACACTTTCTTTCAGGATTCACTCCACATAACTATTATTATTATTAATATTCAGGATTTATATATTGCCGACAGTTTATGGGGAGACAGTACAATTACAATACAGTACCATACAAAAGGATTAGAAGGAACTACAAAAGATTAGAACTACAAATCTTTTAGGCAGGACAGCAGTTCCATTATAGGTATTTCAAAAGTTCAGTTAGCCGCTTGCCTCAAATTCAGTTTTAAATACTTTATATGTGATATTTACCACATTTTTAAATGTAACTCTGTTCTTTTGCATTTCAGATTGCTTGTCTGGTGACCAATGATCAGCTGCGTTTGTATCAGCGGCTAAAGCTTGAACGAGGTATCATTTTGTTACATTTTATTTTAAATATTAGGCACAGGTGTCAATATTAAACTCATCCAGGTTTCTTTATAAGAGATGTTTGTATGACAGAATACTGGAAAGAATTGGAGTAGGACCTAGTAGGCTGTAATAATAAAAGTCGGAAACAATGTCCTTTTCTAATAAACTTTGATCAAGCAAATGTTCAATCTTTCTAATAAAATAATAAAAAATCTAATATTTTATAAGAAAATAATGAATAATCCTACCTCTAGGAACTTAGTTCTTGGAGTGAGCGCATAACACCTACGTGTTGTTTGAATCATATGTTATTGAAATACAGTAATAGAGTGAAGTTTCAGATCTGGAACCACCCAGGGAATTGAGATGATGTTGTGTTAACAAGTACATCAGTTATGACTGTTGCTGTCCTTTAATAATATTTAATCGTATATTTGACACAGAGAACTATAGCCAAACTTTTTTTTTAGCTTAAGTTATCTTTTGGGTCACAGGAGTACATTTAAAGTGGCACTAAACTCAGAAGTTAAATCTTAAAAATGCATTCAAGTATCCCATTTATTAACAAAAATGTATCTTATTTGTGTATCACTGGGCTCATCTCTAAATTCATGCTGACGCTGTTCTTGCTTCTGGAAGGTGGCTACTTTTGTAGTCGGGATCCACTCCACAGCCTGATTGACAATTGGCTCTGCCTCTCTAGAGCCAGAGCCAGCTGTGCCAGCACCTCCCCTTTCTGTCCCTCCAATGAGCACTGGAGGAACAAAGCGAGGGGAGGAATGAATCCCTGGAGGGAGTTTTGATTGACAGTCACTGCTCTCTGCAGGGAAAAGTTGTGAGTCGAGTGATCAGCAGTTTGTAAACTTTCAGTTCTCGAACTATAAAGTAGGCATTTGACAGCTGCAGTGTAAAACACCGGCTCAAAATATTGGGAAGAGTACATTTTACTCTCCCAGTAGTTCTCCTTTAGAGAAGAACTCTGCTAAACACTGTTAAAGTTTACAAAGTTAACATAACCCAGGTGTAATCTGTGAAAAATAGGACTATTCTGTGGAAAAACCACACACTTACAACCAGGGGTGTATCTACCACAAGGCAATCTAGGCATTTGCCTAGGGCGACACTTTCCAGGGGGGAGGCAGAAAACGCTGCCCCAAACCATTGAGGTGGACAGGGCCAGACTTGCCTTTGGGCATACCGTGCACTTGCCCAGTAGAGGCTGGGCGGCACAGAATCAGGCAGCGGCAGCTTCCTAAGGTGGCAAACTAGGCGGCCACAAGGTCCTAAGAGCAGCTTCCTAATTAGAGAGCTGCCCGGTGGAGGGGAGTGTCCAGTGACAAGTGGGCCGACTGGCTTTGTACAGGAGGTGGAGGAGAAGCAGCGGGTGGCTTGGGGCTGGGCATAGCATGTGATCTGATGGTGGGATGTCCTAGAAGCAGGCTGGGGACTGCAATGTATCATGTTGGTACTAATGTCACTTCGAGCTGCAGGTAAGAGGAGCAGCACATGTATGCAGGGAAAGGGACTCTGCACAGTCCTCCTGAGACCCTGCACAGTCCTCCTGAGACCCTGCACAGCCCACCATAGACCCCACACAGCCCACCATTAACCGTGCACAGCTCTCCTAAGACCCCGTGTGCACTGAATCCAGTGACTGGCAAGTTGCGTAAAATGTCCTAAACAGGATGGGGTGGGGCAAATTTAGATTGAGGGGGGTGCCTGAGTTTAGTCTTGTCTAGGGCAGCACAAAACAAAAATATACCACTGCTTACAACAATCAAAGAATCCTATACATGCTGAATGTGTTCCATCACTACTACTCTTCAGAATGTCATAGCTGTCATGGGTGTGGGTGGACCTAGCCACAGGATTGCTACTTTGAGTTTTAGTGATCTCAAAGCAACACAGCCACAGTCAACCACTACCACTATGATTGCACAGGCACTAGTCAGTTACTTTTTTATTTTAAGCTCCCAGCCTAAAAACCTGAGTGCTCTAATAAAGGGAGCAACAGTGAGTCTGTTTCTGGTCACCGTGTATTCCATCAATACTGCCTCTCTCCTTACCTCTCTATTGGGCACAGAATATAATGGGAATACCATTTGTAGTTAAGGGGGTACAATTGAGGCCTCTCTCCAACCCAGCCTGCTGATTGGACAGTGAATGAGCACCAGTAGACTGATCAGGTAATCTCGCTACTCACTCTGCTCTTTTCTCTTATAAGCATGTCAATACATTTACATGCAGCGCACTTTGTTGGCTCCCGGTCCTGCCTCTTACTCTGCCTGTCTGAGTGCTGATGCATAGGGTGGAGATACCAGCACATAGTGAAGTACTTACACTAGTTACATTAAAAAATATGTTTAATAGTTATTTATGACTACAACGCTACATTGATTGTGTTGTTTATATCTGCCTGGAGTTTATTAACTCAAGCTGGGCACTTTACAAAAAGGGAAACAATGAGGTAGACCTTCAGCATTCTTGTGTCATGCTGATAGTAAGATACAGTGAAAAACTAAATTACTATTTTCTGCTTACTCCTTATTCACGTCTTGGATTTTAGCAAAAGGAGTAAATAAAAGTCATCAAGGATAATTGCAGAATATATGTTGCCTTCTATAGGTCACGACCTGACAATTTATGCAAGGTATGATTTCTTAGCTGAAGTTTTAACTAGCAGGAAGTACATAGATAAAGTTAACATTCTTTGCATCAGTTGCACACATTTTCCACATGCTGGAACAAGTAAGTGGAACGCTACTGAGTTTAACAGAGATAGATCATTTTACATATATTTCTTCACACACATAAAACACATATTTTATAAGAAGCATATGAGATCTTTGTTAATGCACCTGTCTTAAAGTAATGCAAATAAAGACCTATATGTATATGCCAGTCATAATCATGATAATTAGGAATGACACAATACAACCTCTTATTTAGCATCCCCACCTCTTTTGTAAAACCAAGGGCTGTTAGAGAGTAAAAAGCAACCAAATCTCTTCATAGTTGCTCTGTAGCCCACCAGCAAAGACCAGCAGCACAAGAATACTGGGCGAAGTGAAGAGTGTGGGAGAGGTGTCCTGTGGATTAAGCTGTAATTGGGATTGGAGTGGCATTAGATACTATGGGGTCTATTCATGAAGCTGCCGAAGGATCTAACCGTAGCTTCGGCCGATCCTTCGGCTAGCTTCGGCCCCAAGACACCTTCGGTTCAGTAGAACCGAATTGGTGCTGTACGGGCTATTCACTATAGCCCGTAAGTTTTTTTTTTTCTATTCTGACGCGGCTTCCCCCCTCTGAGGGACCGAGCAGAACAGCCGAGCCGAATGCCGCTCATCGGCATTCGGCTATTCACTCACTGCTGTTCGGCATCTATAAGAATAGGCCGAACAGCAGTGAGTAGCCTGACGGAGGTTCGGCTCAGCCGATCCAGATGTTGGATCGGCTGAATCGAACTCCTTCTGCACTTCGGGTCAGCCGAACATGCTGAGCATGTTCGGCCGACCCGAAGCCATGCGAAGCAAGCCGATGTACGGCTGATTTCAGCCGATATACGGCTGAAATCAGCCGTACAAGCCTGAAGTGAATAGCCGAACAGTGTTCGGCTCACTTCACTTGGGGTCGGTTGTTCACTCGGCTGCCCTCGGCAGCTTAGTGAATAGACCCGTATATATTACTGTTCATATGCGAACTATTAGAACTGTTGGCTGTGCTAAGGTAAACATTTAAGATTGAGAATAAGTAATTAGCTAAATTATGTTTTTAAATACAAATACAACATAAAATGTGTAATTTTGTCTAGCTAGTTTTATAATCCAGATACCCCAACTAGACACTATAGCCCGGTCCAGACCATTTACGTTTCTCCACTGCAACCAAAGCAGTACGGTTTTTCAGTACTGCGAATGGATAAACGAACAGAAGCTCACTAAATAGGTCATGCTGTATATGTGTTTTCTTCTCTATTCAACAAGCTCTGTTTGTTACATTCACAATGGTACACAATACAGTAGAGCCTAATTAACGTATAGTTAATTAGGCTATACTGTTTTTCCCAGTCTGAATGATGATGTGCAGGGGATTACAGGGGGCTATAACAAAGACAGACTTATGTGCGATTTTAAAGTACATTTAAGTATTTTTGATAAATACACAAAACTTGATTAAATGGGATCCTTTATATATGTCTAACTTACACTTTACTGTAATGCTGCTGTACAATGTGCCAACTATATCTGGTTGTCCAGTACATTTCAGAACCATCTCAGCTTATATTTCTATTAAACGCCTAAAACATAAGTACCGGTATAACATTTTTGTTAATGAAAATGTGTATGAATCACCAATTCAAGAGTATTGATTTTTCTCACGAATAAACTCCTCCTGCTGCAGAATAAAAGTGTGAATCATACTTTCATGAAGTCAGTTTCTATAAAAAACCTGTTTAAATTAAAACACTGCTAAGGAGTCTTGTGAAAAGCCAAACAGCTCAAAGCCTGCAGGTCTGACGGAGCTCAGTCCAATGGGGAATTATAGGAACACATAGGTTTGTAAATAATTCATCTAAGTACTGTGTACTTCTCATGGTCATGCTTCGACAGTTCTTTGTTGTTGTACTTATATCTCGCCATTGTTCCTATTCTGACATAGTGTGCATAACTATCATTAGCAGGCCTATAGATGGGCATTACTGTTAAAAGTGGCATATTAATGGCCTATGGTTATTACTGTGTTTAATGCTGTTGTGTCACTAACAATACAACTATTCCTGCAATTGTTACAGGATATGTATAGTTAGATCTAAAGAATATACAGCAGGACCTAATTGCATATTGTATTCTTTCTTTTATATTGCTGTTCTTGTTCATGAATTGCTGCTCTTGTTCATTTATTTACACCATCAGTTATGACCATTCCAAAATAAACCTGTGTTATGCCCATTCAGGGCAAACCAATACTCATCTTTCCGTGCACTCCCCCACCACTATGTACAGTACCGGGGGAAAAAAAATTGCTTGGTACTACTGAGTATGAAGAAGCATGTGACTTAATTCAATGTGACAGTGCTCGGCCAATCACCCTTGGACCCTTGTCCCCTCCTCCTGTTGTTTGTTTGGTTAATGACGTATTCTCGTTATTACTGTATACAAACTTATTTTGTTGTTGTTTTCTGCTACCGGTTAATGTTTTCTTGGTTCCCTTGCACCTTTTCTTTTTTTTTTATAACATTGTTATTGTAACATTGTACAACTTTATTTTGTATTCTGAAATAAAACAATCTACTATAAAACAAAAAAGGTTAGCACAGTCCAGTACCAATAAGTACCCAAAGTCAAAATATTGTCCACAACAAAACTGAAACATTAACTGTACTGTGCCCCGGGACATAGTGAGCTTTGTGTTGCCAATACATAGCATGCTGATAACAATATGATTTTATTGAGCTGTGAAAGGGTTAAAGAGGGTGTACTCAGTTATGGTGAGAAATCCGTCCCTATGTGGCCAGCCCTAGGGTGCATGCACCGTGGGTGTTTGGTCTGCGATTGAATGTCTTTATGTTATATTTGGAATTTGGGTGCAGTGATATAATTGGTCACATTACATCAAATGCAGCATTTGGGCATATTTATTGCAAGGTAAATGTGATCCTGTGCTCTGCACCTGCATTCACAGCAGAGATGAATTATCTCTAAAATGACTCTCAGCAGTTCTCAAATGTGTTTCAAACATGCTGCAAACAGTGTAACTTCCTGTACGCTTGTACAATTATAGGCAATTATAGGATAACTGTACATTTAATGAATAGTCTTCCATATGCCATCCTTCACCCCCAACTTCAGAAAAACACATGTAAATATGACTTTTGTGGTATCTGACTATAATAGTCTGCACAAAGCTAGGCATGCCTTTCAGTGCATCAGCCCCTGGGAGCCGGCAGATTACCAATATTGTGCATATCCTGGGATATTGAGCCTCTACCTGAAGTTATCTTTAAGCTGTTCTTAATTAATTAAAAAGGAATTCTGGTCCACTGAGTGCCAGAGATTAGAAGAACTGTTTTAAAGTAGAACCGAAGCCAAAACATTTTTTTGGGTAGAGTAAATGAGGGCTATAACCTTTGTTAGCTTTTTTGCCACCTGTGTCCCACTGGAGAGATTTCCCTTCTCTGTCTGTTCAATAGCCACAAGAAGTGAAAGGAAATGGGGTTGATTTACTAACCTTATAAACACACCACGAACATGTATACACCTCTGTAGTGTGTTCCCTCCCAGCAAGATCTATGGGTGGAATCTAAACACCTTTGTAGTGTGTACACACCCAGCAGGTGTGTTGTGCAAAGCCAAGCAAGGTGATGTTGTGTAAATTAGCTCTTCGTTGTGTTGCTTGCGTTGATGAATGCAGGAATGTAAATGCATGAGCTAACCATTTTTGTCAAAAACTGTGAAGCAGCATTATATATGCATCATGTGCATGATTTTTCCATATATGGCATTAGTGGAAATATGCTTTTAGAGACTTTTTGGTTGATAAATACGTTTTGCTGTGTGAAAATCACACGCACCTGGTGCGTGCGTGTGTTTAGATTAGTAAATCACCCCCAATGCCTCCAAAAAGAGGGAAATCCTTGGTGGTCCACTGGGCCAGCAGAACTAATGTCCCCATTGTAAAATTAGTTCTGGTAAGAATCCTTTTTCAGGGAGTACATTTAACTAATAGAGAGGACAAATAGAGAGGGTGACCCTTCTTAACGGGGACACAAACAGCAATAAAAACCTTACAGGAGTTATAACCCCTCTCTACTCTTAAAAAGAAACATTTTAGTTCCAGTTGCACTAATGATAAAAGTTTCTAAGGTTTTCTCTTGTTACTTCTTTTGTCGTGCTCTATAACTACAGCAGCGGATACCTTCACCACTTCTCATGAGTCTGACTGCATGAAAAGAAGGCAGCAGGTGACAGATGACACGCACAATTCATTGTTTATGTTCCAGGCACGGACAATGTATTTTAATTATCGTAAAACAAAGTTTACCTTGTTTGCCAATATGCATATGGAACCGCCTGGTACTTCACCATGCCAGCTGCAGATTGATTTGCAGCAAAGTGGTCCATCCACGGAATTGACTAAATCTAACAGACAACAGTGCGGGTGAAAAACACTTAGAGGGTTATTCACTAATGAGCCGAAGGATCCAGCCGTAGCTTTGGCTGATCCTTCGGCTCACTTTGGCTGCCTAAGCCCTTCGGTTCAGTCGAAGGGCTGCTGTGTGGGCTATTCACTACAGCCTGTACAACAGCCGAAGACAGCATAGCCGAACCCATATGCTTCGGCTCGGCTGAGTCGTAGTGACAGGCAAAGTCGGCTGAGTCGTGACAGGCCAAAGCCGACAGATCTCCATGCAGATGTCAGCTGGGCGGAGCCAGCCGTGATCTCATGGCTCGCTCTGCCCAGTTGTAATGAGTCTGGCAATAGAAAACAGTTGGGCGGAGCTAGCGGTGATGTCACCGATAGTTCCGCCCAATTGTTTATATTTTGCCGACATCTGTCAGATTTGATATTATGCGGTGGGAGTTCGTAGTGTGCGGTCGGGTCGTCGTGCATTCGTTTTTTTTCCAATTATTTTTTCCTTTTCTTTTCTTTAAAATATTTGTATTATTTTCTTAACTTTATTTCATTTTCGTATTTTTTTAAATACTTAAAAATATATTTTTAAATAAAATGTATTTACATTTTTTTCTATTCTGCTCGCTACCTCGGAGGTTGCGTGCAGAATAGCTAAGCTGAATGCCGATCGGCGGCATTCGGCTATTTACTCACTGCCGTTTCGGCCCTATGAGAATAGAGGCAAAGGGCAGCGTGTGAGCTGCCGAGCTGCGCTCAGCCGATCCAGATGTTGGATCGGCAGAGTCGAACTCCTTCTGCACTTCAGCTAAGCCAAACATGCAGAGCATATGCGGCTGACCAAAGGCAGCTGATGTACGTCTGATTTTAGCCGATGTATGGCTGAAATCAGCCGGACAAGACTAAAGTGAATAGCCAAACCACGTTCGGCTCACTTCACTTCGGCTTGGTTATTCACTCGGGTGCCTTCGACAGCTAAGTGAATAACCCCCTTAGATTTTGTTTGGAATTATGTAAATTATATAATTATATATAGGTCTTATACTTGTTCCTGATTAGATCTTTCTTTCTGACTTTTCTATATTTGTGAAGGCAATTGTTGACTTCAAAAGTTGGTATTGGCCAATACAAAGGGCAGTTATCTGTGGACGCAGTATAAAGTAAACTTCCCCTGCTAATAATAGACCTGCCTATTAGTGTGTAATTAATGTAGTTGAATAATGTAAAAGAAGAATATTCATTAAAATATCTTTCTTTGATTTTTCTTTCTTTTTCAGACGTTCATCTTGACCCCTGCAGAACCTGGTGCCCAACAGCAGATTGCCAAACTGTTTGCCAGGTCGCAGCTAGCCACTCCGATATGCCTGTATCGGTGGAATGCCGAGTTTGCCTTATGAAATTTTGTTGTGTATGCAAAAAGCCTTGGCATCCTGAGCACTTATGCCAAGAAAATCAGCCAGAAGCAGTTCAGCCTGAGAAAGGGTAACTGGTATTTTCCATCTAGTGTTATTGTTTTATGATGTTTGTGCCCACTGAACAAATGTTTTGACATTTAAAAATAACCTAGTATCTAAGTTTGGTCTCTTTACTTTATTGAGAAATACCACAGCAGTTTCTTCTCGTGCTGGGATCTCAGTGCTGCATGCTTTTCGCAGCAGGATGTGTTTACTTTACAGAATAGCAGTTAGTTGGTGTTAGGGCATAGTGTAGGTCAGGGTAAGTAACTTTGTAACTCCAGTTGTTGTGGAGCTACAAGTCCCGTAAGGCATTGCAAGCAACACAGCAACTGGCATGATTCCCAGAGGCAGAGGCATGATGGAATTATGAGTTTCACCCCACCAGGAGTGCCAAAGTTGCCTACCCCTAGTGTATACGATATCTAAAATTTCAGTGCAGGCAGCTTGGCACTGGTAGCTTTCAGCTCTGAACTCCCATTGCTAAGAGCTGTAACCTAAGCTCATTCCATAACCCTAAAACTAACCCTCACACTTACACTACCTGTAACCTCAACACTCCCTAACTCCTGAACTCCTTGTTTCTTTACACACCTGTCTTGCCTTGGGATCCTCTGATCTAAAAAATAAAACCTCTGCACTGAAAGATTGAAGCTGGTATTCACTGTTCTGAACTTTAAGCCTTAGGTTTGTGTTAAGCCTAGGTTTTAGTGTTTTGGTGGGGAGTAGAATATAGAGCTTTGTTCAGTGCCCTGCCTGACACTTTTTCACAATTATAAGAAATTATAATATAAGAAATAATTATAAAAAATTATAATATAATAATTTAAAAAATGGTCCAGTAAATGGGAATTCTGGGGTCGCTGCTTGATCCGTACCTCAGTCAAGTACCAAGTTCTCACATCACTGAGCTCGGTCGCAGAATCGTCGCTGTTTTAGGTCAAAAGCAGTTTTAGACCAGGTAGAAAACAGCGATAGTAAATTAGAATCACTTGCAGAATTGAGCGATAGCGATTCGTTGGGAAATTCGTCCTCAGACACTGAAAGTGTCCATGGCACGCTTTTTGGATGCCATGGACGTTCAAAAGTTTCCAGGCAGAAAGAACAGTAAAAGTGCAGGCAGGGCACTGGACAGAGCTCTAGGGACAAAATGGAAGTGAAATAGTTTGATACATAAGTGTAATTGTAGCAGATTACATTGTATTCTGTGTAAATGTAATTTTTCACTTTTGAATTTCCCGCCGGCTCCGCCCCCCGCTGTGACGCCTGAAAACGAAACTGAAACTCAGATGCCGGCCGCGTACAGCAGAGGACACCGCAGGCTCGCAGGGACAAGGTAAGTGACACTTTTCTGTGCATTCCCGAGTCTGGCTCGGGGTTACTGCTCCTGGTACTGAAAGTTAACCTCGAGCCAGACTCGGGAATACCGCCAGGAGGTTAATGTACTAATAAAATCTCAAACTTTTTTTCAATATTGAATCCAGATCAAACAATTATACATTGCCCAGCAAAGTATTTCTTTATATTCTTTATATTTTCACTGTCAGTGTACAGGGGACCAGCTGATTCTGCTTAAAACGTTTAAACATTAAGGAACAACATCCATTGTAAGTGATACAATCATTTATCGTATGATTTGTTTCATCCTGTCATCGAACCGTCATTTGATTTCCGCACGCCCTATCATGCACAGACCAATGTGGATTTAAATTGTGATAGTTGACTTCCCATCAACTGGCCGATTGTCGTACAAAAAAACCCGATTCCGTTCGGAAATCGGATGATAATTGCAAGGTGTATGGGCACCTTTAGGGCCTGTTTACATGAGTTTCAGGTGCGGATCTGCAGACGCGGTGCTATGTGTTTTTGCTGCGTTTTTGCCGCGTTTTTGATGCGTTCCAGTTAAAAAAAATATATATATATTTTGTTTTTTTTTGCTGGAGTGGGGCTGTCAGTATGTTAGCTGCAGTGCAGTGCGTTGTTTTGCGCGGTTTTTACACGTTTTACGTTTCCGGACCTTTTCCTGACCGTACAAAATGTGAGATACAGTATTTTTCTGTCGTAACCTGAACGGACTGCGCACGTGAGAACTGTAGCCCATAAAACACATAGGGATACATTGGGATGCATTTTTAGTGCAGGAGCGTACGGATCAGGTCAGCGCAGAAAACGGACGTCGTGTGAACAAGCCCTTAGGGAGGTACCTTTGTATTTTTTAGCAGTTACTTTCAGTAATTTCAGTAATTTCACACTAGTTCTCTGTATTTGGAGACTCATTAGCAAAACTACCAGCACTGGACTCCTGGTGCCGAAAACAAGGGTATCAAATTAATTGGATATTTTTCTTTGCAAATCAAAACTCATCTGCAATGATGGGTGCACCTATTGTGTCAAGAATACACACGCAGGAATCTAGCAAAGTGAGAACTGGTTTGTAGTTGTTTACTGTGTTTTATCATGTATTACCACCCACCAAACACCTACACTGCTGTTTAGTCATGCTGCTTTTCATTTACCCTTGTGGATATAAGACTTGGACTTCTTCCAGCTGTAACTGTTGTTTTCCATTTTTAATAAAATACGGTTTAAATATGTACATAATTTAAAGATATTCACTTTAGCTGGTACAAATTAACCAAGCCGACGGATTCAAGAACAGTTCAGAATGCTTGAGACAGCTTGAGACAATTAAAGATAAAATGTATAATAAGGTAATTTCATGTATGTGGGTACTCCCAGATTTCTTCAGATATACCTTGATTGGCTGTTCTTAAGGTAAGAGCTGATTGGAGAGGTTGGATTTTCCTTTATTTTTCCGAAATAAAAACAGGCAATAGAAGTATATTTCTTCTGCCTTTCCTGCTTTTTCAACAGGCAAAAACATACAAGCTCGGCTATTCAAAGCATTAAAGCTGAACTCTAGACAAACAACTGAAATACATTTTTGGCAGCTGTTTTTCCTGCTTAAGACTTTGTATTTATGTCCATCCACTCCTGAGGTTTACACAGATCGGCCCCACAGCACAGTACAGTCTAGAAAGGGAGGAACTCTGATCGTTCTCTGCTGCAGTTTCACTTTTAATTACAGGTCCCCTCCCCATCCCCACCCTGTAACTGGACAGTTAGGGGAGAAACAGCATCCTGATGTGCTCATCTCTCTGCCACTATGCTCTTTACTCCTGCTAGCATGCTCTTTGCCTACTCAATGCATGGTATTGGGGTGCCACATGTTGGGCTGCGTTGCAGAGCATGGTGGCCTCGAGGTGTGTTGGGTCACCATTCAAATGAATGGCAATGCACCTGGCGCACAGTGACGCATACTAGGTGCGCTGTGGGTTAATATGCATTAATCACACAATGTCATGCAGTTACCGCTACACTTAAATAAAAATAGATGCTAAAAGATTTTTTTTTTTGCTGAAGGGCCTAGTTGAATAAACAAGTGAGACAAAAGAACGCCTTCAAGAGTGCAAGTGCACTAAATGTGCAGCTAATAAAAAGCTAAATAATAAGTTAATTTATTTATTGCTCACATTTGACCATGAATATTCCTGTCCTTCATGGTTGACAAGTCCAGTCATATTGAAACCTTCTTCTTTCAGTAAGCAAAATGATCAAATTGTCAGATTAGTTTTTATTTTGGCAGTGCTGTTTTATTTCTGTAGCTAAACAATCATTTGATATTATTAGCATGGCCCAGTCAATAACAACAAAGTTCTTTATACATCATATCAATTCACTCTAAACGTAAAGCTGAACTCCAGGTAGATATTAAAGACATAAAATGAACACTCCTGGGAGTCGATCATTGCTGCTGTGTCCTATGTGGTGCACAGTGTCTTTAGAGCTAGTTTCATCTGGGTGAGAAAGTCTTACTGCAGGCACCTGTGCACACTGAATCCTACATAGGACTTGGGGACTGCAGCTAACAATGTATTATAATTTCTTACTTTACTCTTTTGACCCTTTAACTACAGAGGAGGTTACAAAGCTTTTCCATGACACCCGCCTCACCACTTGCCCCCTGGACCCTGTTCCTATACCACTACTCCAGTCACCCTCTTGCCCTATCCTACACTCTCTTACTCATACTTAGAACCTTTTCCTCTCTACCGGCATCTTTCCATTTACCTCTAAAACATGCACTGGTCACCCCAATACCCAAAAAACCCTCACTGGACCCCAACAACCGTAACAATCTCAGACCAATCTCCTAACTCTCATTCACTATATGGCCACTACTACTTACTCTTGCTATTAGACCTTTCTGCTGCTTTTGACCAAGCTAACCACACGCTGATACTCAAAAAGCTCCAGTTTGGCCTTCAAGGTTGCTCTCTCATGGTTCACCTCCTACCTATCTAAGTGCTTCTTTAGTGTCACCTATTAATCTAACTGCTCCCCTCCTCTTGCTCTTTCCGTAGGGGTCCCCCAAGGCTCTGTCCTTGGACCCCTTCTCTTCTCTACCTACACCTCCTCCCTTGGTCACTTGATAACCTTGCATGGCTTCCAATACCATCTCTATGCCAATGACACCCAAATATATCTCTCCACTCCTCAACTCACCCCCTTGGTGTCCTAGTTAACTAACTGGCATATCTGTCTGGTTGTCACAACACTCCTTAAAACTCAATCTTTCAAAAACTGAGCTAATTTCCCCCCCCATGCATCTTCCCCCATCTTTTCCATTGAGATTGATAACACAACTATCCCTCCCTCCCTCCCCATGCCAAGTTGTTAGGTATGATCATTGAGTCCGACATCACCTTTCTGCCCCATATCCAATCACTATCCAAATCCTGCTGCCTTCACCTTCATAACATCTCCAAAATACTCCCCTTCCTAACCAATTAAACCACAAAGCTACTCATCCAATTACTTGTTATCTCTCGTCTCGACTATTGCAACTCCCTCCTTATTGGCCTACCTCTACACATGTCAAGTCTATCATGAATGCTGCTGCTAGACTCATCCACCTAACTGCTCAATGTCTACAACCCCCCTCTGTCAATCCCTCCTCATCTCAAA